ATATCTGCAACATTTTCACAACTCATCGGTGCCCAATTGAAAAAAAGTGTCTGACGTCGCATACGAATGAGTACGAAGGAACCGAAGGCATAAGCTTCAACATAATAATATCGCACGATGAGGAATCGAGGAAGGGAAGTTATCCTAACAGCCATGTAGCCTCTCGAAGATAAGTAAAGACGTCTCCATACCGATCCGCAAGACTCTACTAGACTTGCTCATGATTCGGGAGACCTAAGTGAACCTAGTGCTCTAATACCAAGCCTTCATGACCCAAAACCCTCTATAGGTCATGATGGTGCCCAACATCGCCGTTAGGAAAGCCAACGGTGAACTAACAACTTAGTTATTCATTTTACTATTTTTGAAATCATGAATTTTTATTAGGTAAAGAAATTAACGCATTAAAATCATGGAAACTTACACTTTAAATAGAATAGATAATAAAAATGTGTAAATGTTAATCAAAATCACAAACAACATCTAGAAAATCCCAAAACCCGGTGTCACAAGTGCAAGAGCAGTTAATAAGGAGTACGATAATAATACAACACGTGTCCGGAATGTAAATAAGACAGGATAGAGTAAATATTACGATGAAGACTCTGTGGGCTACGATACATATCCTGGAATCCAGCTTACCATAAAGTCTCCTCAGCAGTTATGCCTATGCGCCAAGATGAACACCGATTGAACCTGTCAGATCCTACATATTTAGTGCAGAACTGTAGCATGAGTATGTAAATAAATGCGTAACCAGTAAGTATCTAGCATAACCCCGGAGAAGTAGTGACGAGGGGTCGATATCGACACTTACTAGAGGTCCAATAAATCAATATAATAAATCATAAGCAGATATGAAACACACAGCAACAATGGGTTAAATCTGTAAGTTACAAAATCTTCCAAAATTTCGTTTAAAAAGTATAAATTTCTCAGTCTTGTATTCTACCTCAACAGCTCAGATGTGTCAAGTGCTAGTATCAAACGGATAAGGAGTACCATATAGAATGCCAGGCATTAGTGGAAGGATAATCTCGTGAATATTCGAACTGCCAGCGATATAACGCACGATTATGTCGAGGTCATTCGGTTCGATCCAGAATAATGTGTACATTGCCTAGGGTCGAGCGGCACGAACCATAGATGCATCTATTATACCACCGATGCGTCCGGCCCGCTCCACAAGAAAGGAAGGAAATCATCAAATTACGAGACACGTGTTTACAATATAATACATGAGCACAAAGTGAATATAACATTAACCGTTTCTCAAATAACTTGCCAACCACTCAAGGTGATAAGGCTTGGCCTTATATATATAATGAGTTTCAAATAATTCAAATAGTACATGATAAAGTCCTAAGTCTACCCAGACATAAACATGTCTTAGTTACGTACGGACTCTCATCACCTCGTGCGTACGTAGCACCCACAACTAGTAGCACATAACAATTACATCACCTAGGGGGTAGTTTCCCACTCACAAGGTTAGACAAGAGACTTAGCTTGCTCCGAAGTTCCATAATCGGCTCCAGTGCCTCTCTAACACCTCAACTCAAAGCCAAACGATACAAAACTAGTCAAACAATGTACAACTCGATCAAAATATACTCCAATGCGTATAATTTAATAAACTATAATGATTCTCAACTCCGCTCTAAAAGTCAACAAAGTCAACCCTCGGGCCCACGTGTCTGGGTTTCGAAAATTTTCGAAGATAAACATTACCCAAAATGTTATGAACTCAAATATATAATTTATTCTCAATTCCATGTCCAATTTCATGGTCAAAATTAAAAAATACCAAATTCTAGGTTTTCTTTCAAATCCCACAATTTTTATAAAATTTCATGTTTAAATCCATATATAACTCATGTATTTATCTCACAACAAGTGGAAATAACTTGCCCCATAATAGATGATGAAATCTCCTCTTCAAAAGCTCCAAATATCGCCCAACCAAGTGAAAAATGAGCCCAATCCCGTATTAAATCAAATCTTCCCGGGCCCGCTCTTCTTCGCGATCGTGGAAAAAGACTCGCGATCGCGAAGGCCAACTCCTTCCAGCTGCCCAGCTACTCTACGCGTTTGCGGCCGCTTGATCGCGTTTGCGATGCCCAGCTGACCCTGCCCTTCGCGTTCGCACTCTACCCCTCGCTTTCGCGAAGGCCTTCTGCCTCATAGCCATCCCCCTCTTAGCATACTTCGCAATCGCAATTAAGTCCTTGTGTTCGCTAAGTAGGACCAGGTCCTTCTCTGCGTTCGCGTGAGCCTTCTCGTGTTCGCGAAGAGAAAAACTGGGGCCCTTCATAAGCCTCCTTCGCGATCGCGGGACTACCTTCAGGATCACGAAGCACACCAGCACACCAGCAGCATCAAAACACCCTCGTGACCCCGTCCAATCATACCAACAAGTTCCAATACCTTATACAAGCTTATCCAAAGGCTCGAAACGCCACAAATAACATCAAAATCATGAATCGATGATCAAAATCTTTCTTTCAACATTCAAACATCTAAACTTCGACAAACGCGTCCGAATCATATCAAAACATTCCGGAATAACACCAAACTTTATGTACAAGGCATAAATCATAATTCGAACTTATTCCAAGGCTCGGAACCCCAAACGGATATCGATAACACCAAAATTTACTTCAAATCAAACTATAGAAATTCTTAAACTTTCGAAATGCCAACTTTCCATAATAAGCTTCGAAATGCTCTCGAACCACCCTATACTCAACCCGAACATACGACCAAGTTCAAAATCATCATACAAACTTATTGAAACCTTCAAATCCCGATTCCATGGTCGTTTACTCAAAAGTCAAACCTTTACTCAACTCTTTCAACTTAAAGCTTCCGAATTTAGTATTTTTTTTTATCCAAATCAACTCTGAACTTCCCGAAATTCGATTCAGACTACGCGTACAATTCAAAAAAAATAAAGTGAAGCTACTTAAGGCCCCAAACCGCCGACGACGCGCTAGAGCTCAAAACGACCGGTCGGGTCGTTACATCATCATCATCTTAGCAACTGACTTCTTCTTCATGTTACCTTCATGCAAATATGCAATATCACATTTAATAATTTGAAAATTACGATCGGAATAATAAAAACAAGCCCTAGTTCCAGCAAAAAGTTATGACGAAACGACAATCGACCACAGGTTTATTAATAACGTTAGATCGCCAAACTAACGAAAATTAAAATATAACACTCATGCCATATAAGATATGGTTATACAAAACTAAATCAAAATTACAAATGCACATGTACGAACCCCTCTATAAACATCAAATCACGGTTGTATGAAACAAAAAAATAGGAATTTAGATTTACCCAAAATTGCAAAGTTCTGAGTAAATATACAGTGCTTGTCGGGCCTATATAGACGATTCAACCCAAAATCGAAGCTTGATTCTTGTCGAAGACCGTCGAAAACCATTATGGTTGAGTGCATGAGTGAGAGAGAAAAGAAAGATAAATTGGCGGAACAAATGAAAGAAATAAAGATTTTTCCATGTTTAATGGCTGACCTTACAAGTTTTGGAAATATTAAAAAGGTCCCAGCCACCTTAATCCAGTTATTTAGCTATTTTTCAAACCAAAAGAAATTGAGAAAAAAAAATAGAAGGTCATATGGCCAGTTCGAGTTTGGTGGAGGTCTTTATGAAAATTTCTCTTCAAAGAGACTGTAGCAACTTTTGCTAGGAACACATATAGGTGTCAATGGGCCAGGTCGGGCCGGTCGGGTGTAGGAGAAAAGGGAACCGACCAGTTTCATTATCGGGACGATTTTTGGTTATTTTTTACCGGGTTTACTGGTTTTGGGCTTCCCCGGTGCAAAACTTAACCGAAACAGTTCCAGGCCTAATGGGTCGGGCGGGGCTTACTTATTTATTTATTTATTTATTTTTATTTTGTTTTTTATATAACAACGTAATTTATATTAAGACAAAATAAAAATGTAAAACATTGAAAACTAACGTATAAAAAAATGTTTGAATAAATTTCAAAGGCTTTAAAAGCCTTATATTTGAAAAATGCATTACGAATTTAAGATAATACTATGAACATGAAAAAAAAAATATAACTTATAACTTGATATTTAAGGATCAAACTTCAAGGGCTTTCATAGTTTTCATTGCATAATAATACTTCAAATTAATCTAACAAACTCAAACATTAAGCTTAAATAAGTCTAATAATTTTAAAATAACACAAGCTGTCTCAAATCAATTTAAATACGAATTTCTGGAGGACGGTCAAGACAACTCTTCATATGGCTCCTTAAACAGCCTGTGCCCTCCCACTTTTGACGAAAATTTAAGACTCGACCACAATTCTTGCACTTTACTTTGCGAACATCTTCATTTTCTTCTACCACCTCAAAGTATTCCCAAACATATGAGCGCACCACTCTAGAAGCACGGAGCATGATTTAACTTGAATTGAGAATTTGTGTTTGAGAATTGAGAGATTGGTGAAAAAATAAAGAAGAGGGGGGGGGGGAGTATATTTATAGTTTTTCAAAGGGCTAAATTAGTAAATACTAAAAGTATTATTTTTGGAAAAAATGCCCCAAAAAATTGGGCAACGGTCAAAATGGCAGCTAACCATTGCCAACGGTCAACTATATTAAAAAAAAAATTGAAATAGCGGTTAAAACCGGTTCGAACTTGACTTGACATTACCGATTTTGACTGGTCCGATTATCCTGTACCTAGATCCTACCCGGCACAATCCCTTCCTGACAGCCCTGCCCCGGCCCCTACCTATTGGTCTGGAACCGGGTCAACCCTGTCCGTTTGATACCCTTAGGAGCCCATTCTGCGCAAAACGATAAGAGTAACAAATTTTATGATTGGGTACTTACATGTGTCGGTCATTGGCAAACTGAAAAAGACTTTAAGTTTACATGTGTGCGGCCAATACTCTTCCACTTAGAAAAATCAGAAAGGACAGTATATATCATTATTCTCAGTATCCCAAACATGTCGAGTATCTTATAAAAGATAGTACTTGTTTGTTTTTTTCATGCACTACTACTTTGTCCACCATGAAACTTTGTACTAGAGGTTTATCTACAAATCTAAAAGCTCCAATCTTTGGCAAGAATTCAAAATCAGCTTCAACTGTAAAATGGGTAGTACCTCAGTTTCAGATTGAATTTCCAGTTGCGTTATCTACTATTTCAGTTCGTTGCGCCCGTTCTTCAGTTCATGTTTCATCGCCAGTTATTCAGTCTGATGTTGATTCAAGCACACTTCATATTCCTGAAGAAAACTTAGAGAAAAATGTAGAGAAGGTGACATCTTAATTAATTGGAATATATATAGTATTTGTATTATGTTTCAATCTCTTGTGACAATTGAAATTTGGTTTCTTGCAGGTAATTTATTGCTGTCGGTTTTTCGCAATTCTTGCAGTGTGGGGTTCCTTGATTGGATCATTTCTTTGTTTTATCAAGGTTAAGTCTTTTACCCTTTTGTATTTAAGCAATTTTTGGATATTTGAGGTTCCTTTATTCAGTTTTTTTATGTAATAACTTTGTTACTCAGAGGATCCTTTATGGATGGCACAAGTTCAAGTTGGTGCCGTCGTACTTTTGAATTCCTAAATAGTCACTAAAAGTGTTAGCAGGAAGATTTGTCAGATCCCCTAACCTTGTGATGTTATCAGTATCCAGAAATACAAGTAAGGAGTTATTAAATTGACTTCATTTCCATAAACAGGGTTGCTCGTGTGTGGTAGAATCATTCCAAGCCTACTTTGCAACCAGAACCAAGGTTATTGTGTATCTCGTTGAGGCTCTAGGTCTGTCATATTTATCTTCCTTTCTCTGTCATTTATTTTATTGCTAATAAGGATGACGCATTGCCCTCATCCTCATGCATGGGAGCTTCACTCATTATATATATATGATGATGTCAACTTTTCTCTAAATTAACAATATGAGATTGTAATGTAATTAGATTATGAGTTTCACAAACAAGCTATTCTGTAATTGCTAACACAAGAACAACAAACGAGTTTAAAAGAATTTTTACTCACACGAAAGAAAACTATGGATAGCAGACCATTATAAGTGGAGGAAGTAGTTACCAAACAAAAATGATATTATACCGATAGTATAAATAAAGTTAAGTCTATAACAAAATGCCATTACTAGTATATATAGCAAGTGTTCTCCATAAGTAGAGTAGAGGGAATGCTTCACCTTTATATTCAAACCAATACGAAGGTTGAAGGATCTGATGTTTCTAGTGGGACTGCATTCTTTTGTTCCCAAGAGTAGCCCTATTTCTAGTAGGAGCAGTTCAAGCATTAATATAATAGGTACTATTAGATCTAAGAGGAAATGAAGGAGAATAAGCCAAGTAGATGTGATTGCACATTACTAAGGTTCTTCTCTGTGGTTTAAGCAACTTGAAAAGAATGAAACAGTTTATATTCTTGCCACCAAATTCATAAAAGGTCGCATCTTATAGGCTCTTTAACAGGCAGACCTAGGTTATGTGGATTAATGTTTAACTATATATTCATTTTCATTTGGTGATTGGCTTGGTCTTCGCTCATTCTTTTCGCTTGGCAAATTAAATTAAAAAAAGAAATGAGAGGTGAGCTAGTATTGGATTGAGGGGCAGTTGATTGATATAAACGGATTAAAAGTAGTTTCTGATTGATATGCAAGCGTCACTGGGGGAATGAATTTAAAAGGAACCACAGAAATTGGAATAGAAAATCATGTTTGATCTTGAAATTTAAATGTGCTCTTGAGGTGAGGAAAAGGCAGCTAGTTTGTTGCTTGTTAAACAATATTCTGTATGATCTGAGAATCTGATGATTTAATTTTCCAGAATAGCCATTGTCACCCTTTGCCTCTATAATATGTTTTGTGACTTGTTGTTCCTAACTAATTATTTGTGTTGCAGATATATATTTATTAGGGACAGTGATGTTAGTGTTTGGGATGGGACTGTATGAGCTCTTCATCAGCAACCTTGACAAAGGAAAATCCATGTCAACTCCACATAGATCAAATCTCTTCGGCATGTTCACTCTTAAGGTTTAATTTATATGTTGTAGTCTCTTCTTCAGTCGACCAATGTCTTGATGACATCACATTTGTTAACAAATATAATTGGCAGGAACGACCGAGATGGTTGGAAATAACTACAGTGAGCGGGCTAAAAACCAAAATCGGCCATGTTATCGTGATGCTTCTTCCCATAGGCTTGTTTGACAAAAGCAAGAGGGCTGTTCTAAACTCACCATTTGATCTACTTTGCTTCTCAGCTTCTTTGCTCTGGCTGCCTCTATCTGCTTTCAAAACTCACCCATGACAACTCACTATTTTTAAACACAAATGCATGCATTTCATGATGAGATTGTAAAATATAAACATCCATCTGTTCTTTTCTAATGAAACTGGCAACTCTCTTTTATAACATTCCCCTGTTATTTCTGTGGATGACATTGGACAGAAGATAAAAACGTTTGAGAAACTATGTAAAACATGTTAGGATCGGACAGTAAGGCTAAGGCATAACGTCTCAAGCCCTATCCAACTCTAAACACATACTATAATTGCTAAGGCCAAGGTATAAATGGTTGAAAAATACGAAATAGGCGGTTAATTTGAGTATTCTCTATCTATTATTTGTATTTCTATTTTTATTTTAGTAATGTTAACTTTTATGTGACAACTTCTTAAAACCGTGCCCGTCAATTATAAAACAAAAATGAAACAAAGTATAATTCTAAATCTTTTCATCTTGCATCTCTTTTTAGGTTCCAGAAGGGTCAAAAAGAATTAAAAAAATAAAAAAACGTTTTATATGAACAAAATTACATTGTGTATATAAAGCAAAATTTCGTTTTTACCTATATATATATATTACGTTTTGAATCCCCTTTACACAGCTCAAAAGCGTCAAAATAGCACGGTATAGCCAGTTTTCGGACTGGTCATTCAAAAATAGCCAGCGTTCACCAAGATAATAAAAAATAGCCACTATTTTGCTGCAACAGAGACCGGTCCAGCATAATATACTGGAGTTCGGTGCACCTATGTATGAACTCCAGCATATTATGCTGCACCGGTATACTTTGCTGGTTCCAGTATAATATACTGGAGCACCAGTGCTCCAAACTCCAGTATATTATGCTGGACCGGTATACTTGCTGGAACTCCAGTATATTATGCTGGAGTTCTAGTGTACTTATGCTGGAACTCCATCATATTATGTTGGAGTTCCAGCATACTTATCCTGGAACTCCAGTATAATATGCTGGAGTTCAAGTATACTTATGCTGGAACTCCAGCATAATATACTGGCATATTTTTCCGGGTTTTGAACATTGTGTTCGCTCAGATCTATATTTACTTAAAAGGAAAGAAGTCAACCCTACAAATTTGCCAAGTGTTCCACATATAAAATGCCATGTGTTTATTTTAGGACAAATTAGTTAAAGTTAGGTAAAATTAGTTTCTCTTTTTAAATTTTGAATTTAAAAATAATTAATTAGGTATTCTATATTTTTTTTAAAAAGAAGTTTTTTAAAATAAGAAGCAGTTTCTACGTATATAGTTTGAAAAGAAAAGTCATTAATAATTTAAAAATAATTAATTAGGTATTCTATATTTTTTTAAAAAGAAGTTTTTTTTTTTTAAAAGAAGAAGCAGTTTCTACGTATATAGTTTGAAAAGAAAAGTCATTCCTATAGAAGAACTACGTTTTTTGCCCCAAAAAAAAAGTCATTCCTATTAAATAGGTATAGATATAGATACATTTTTCCTATTAAATAAGTATAGATACATTTTGAAATAAGAACGGCAATTGGGAACGCTATTTTTATCTTTTGCCCTAAAAATTTCATCCTCTAAATTCGGCACCTCAATCCCACGATGTCTCACCACGATATCAACTCCTTACCCACGAACTCTTCTGCCCAAGATTCCAGCAACGTGATTTCACATTTTTATCAAATCAGTTCTACTTTTACAGTATATAGTTTTGTTCTTTCTCCATCGCGTGCATATCAAACAACAATTCTAAACTACAAGAGGTAATTTGTATGATTTGTATTTCATGAACAATCTTTATTCCATGATGGAATTGTATTCCTTTAACAGATTAGTATTTGAATTTGAATTTCAAAAAAATAATAATATACAAACTGTGCAAACTAAAACTGCTTTTAATATTCACAACTCGATAGAGGCTAATTCGAAAACCGTTTTCAATTCTCAACATAACTCATCTTTTTTGGAACTCCCACAATCCCACTTTTCATCTGACAATAACCACCATCAACACACTTCATCTTTCTTCCAAAGTCTCTCAAAGGGCATATTAAATCCTGCTTTTTGGATCCTTTTCCATGGAAAAAAAAAAATCACTTTCCACATCAAGCGGATATCACAAACAGAATCATAAACAATGCTTAAAAACTTTGTTACGAAAGGTATGTTCTTTAATTACAACTAGCATCTCTGAAATACCTTTTATATATTGTTTTAGTTGCAAGCTATAAGTAATAAGACCATTAGAGTAAAAAATTTATTAATCGTTGATCTATTTTGTATATAAATGGGTAAAAAGATAATTTTGGCGATAATGATGGTATATAAAATTCAGGTATAAGTTATGAAGTCTTTATAGTGAAACATCTACCGTAAAAGAGTAAAAAAAAAGTATCGTATAAATTTAGCTTCTAAAAGGACTTTATCAAATGAAGTTGCTTGGAGAAGTTCAACAGTAATCGAGTTCTTAGCATTACGTTCCAATTCAAAAGTTGAAAAGTGTAGAAGGGTAGATTCTTTCCAGTCGATAGTCAAGTACTGAGACTAATTTTTAAGATGATTGATTTATTCTTGAACTTATAGCCAAAATCACGAATTCCTTTGGTCTCGTGTACTGGATGCACTAGCAATTTTTGCCGATCTTTAAGGAAGTCTTGATCATCTACATATATGTTTAAACAAATCCTTTGTGAAGTACAATATTTTAGAAACGCTAAGTGAAATGTAACCATGAATTAATCTATGGGTTTGTGACATGGTTCAGTGACCAACATGCATATCTCTACTTAGATGTTGAAATAGTTAAGAGGCGAGAGAAGTAGAGAAGATATTCTCTTCGATTTAGTTCATTTCTTTATCGGGATATCGCAAAATTGAGGTTCGGCGGAGGTGGGAATCAGAGTTTGGGTTTTTTAATATATGAGTAAAACGTTATACATGCCTATCTTATAGCCTGTTCGGCCAAGCTTTTTTTTGGGCCAAAAGTACTTTTTTTGGCCAAAAGCACTTTTGGCCAAAAATTAAGGTGTTTGGCCAAGCTTTTGGAAGGAAAAAAAGTGCTTTTGAGGAGAAGCAGAAGCAGTTTTGGAAAAGCAGAAAAAAGTAACTTCTCTCCAAAAGCACTTTTCTGAGAAGCACTTTTGAGAAATATACACTTAGAAGCAGTTTTCAAAAGCTTGGCCAAACACTAATTACTGCTCAAAAGTGCTTTTCTGATTAATTAGCCAAACACAAACTACTTCTCACCAAAAGCACTTTTTTAAAAGTACTTTTGAGAAAAGCACTTCTCAAATAAGCTGATTTTAGAAGCTTGGCCAAACGGGATATATATATATTGATTTCCTTTTGAATTTGACAGAAAAATAATACTCTTGGTAATTTTTCTGTTCCAATTAGTTTAGTCTTCATACACTACATCTTTTTGGAATACACTGCATATAAATAATAAATTGTTGAACCCCCTAAGTTTCAAATCTTTTTTTTTCTACATCAGCAAAGTAATTTTTGCTAACTATCGTCTTTACTTGATAAGTAGATGTCTAATTTCATAAAAGGAGTGTTTCTACATACACACATCGACATCAAAGCATTGGGTTCTTTAGAGGAAGCTCGAAATACGGGGGAGTCACGCCGCACAAATGCGGACGTGGGAAGCTCAGATAGTGCAATTTCTCAGAAGAAGTGACTAACCACTTATCTCACAATAATCATGGTAGCTTCAAGGTCTAATGAGAAAGGTAAACATGTATATCTATTTTGGATTGATTGACAGAGAGATAGAAGCTACAAGGTCCAATAAGCATAACTTAACTCACCCATCCCTCTTATGTTATGCCGTTTGCTCTTTCAAAATTTGACAGGACATAATTTTTAGCCAGAATGTATGATGATACAGCTATAAAGTGTAATGTAAGGGAGGCAAACACTAATTTGAGCTAAGCACAAATAGGAGGAACATTGGTTTGAAATTATCAAAATTTATTTCATAATTTTGATCTAAGCACGTATGATTTGGTCAATGAATACTTACCCCATACCCGGAATATTGATTTTAATCCCTTGACTTACCATGGTCAGGTAAATACATTCCCTATTGCACATAGATCCTCACTGTTTTTAGCCGAGGGAGTATGATGGCTGGCATGACATCACATGGCAAATAGGAAACTATGAACTCTGGCATCTCTAATATGGTTTGACTGGACATAGTGGAGTCATGGTATTTTCGTAACATGCTTTTCATATATATTTCGCGTACTCATCGACTTATGAGATATCTTAAAAGGAACATTGGTAATTTATAGTTTAATCAATAAGCGATATTTCTTAGTTATGATGGTTGACGAGTATATGTTAATTTTCTGCTTTATTTTTATGGTAGTTACTACATGAACATGCAAAGAACATTCTTCTGAGGCAAATGTTTCTGCCGATGTGTATATTGGTTGAGATTTTGTATCATTGTTTTACTATCCGTGCAACTATGGGCGATGTGTATATGCACTTGAAGTGAATTTTGGGAAATCTACTTTAGCTTTTGCTTCTTATAATTATCCAACTTTCTCTACTAATCATGTTTTAGTGCTTAAATATTGGTGGTCCCTCGGATACAATCCTATGAAATTCATATATTTATTTTTTGATTTAATTCTTTAGAATGTGATCGCTAAATTTAGTCTGAAATAAAGACATATTTGTACTATATCATTTTTTCCTTTGAAACAATCCGCGCATCGCGCGGGTAAGAATACTAGTTTATCTTTACATGAAAAGTGGCTAAATTTCTTTTGAAACTGGACTATTTTTGAATGACCAGTTATAAATCTGGCTATTTTTTAATTTCACCCCTCAAAAGTATGGTTTAGTGATCAAGGTGTTCAAAAGCATTATGAGCTCATCGGTTCAATTCTCACTAGCTAAAATCTCTTAAAAAATTTTAACCATGAAATAAATGTTCATAAATCATAGTATGAAAAAAAAATCATTTTACTAATCCCATTTAAGTCTAATTTCGAATAGGTCCAAAATAGTGTAACTGATTGTAAGCATCCAATTATGGGTCCACCATGAATTGGTGCTTGTGGAAATTTCAGTAATCACTTCCACTATCTAACCAAATTCCTCAATATTTTTTGGTTTCTTTCCGTTTTGTCTCTTTGCTTTCCAGATCATTTTGGCAAAATTTCATCATTCAGTGGCAGATACAGCTCAATATGTCAAATACATTTACTTATTTCTGCCTTGTTCAATTTATCTACTTCCTCATCTGATCTGTAATTGAGAATTTTTTTTTTCTTTTGTAGAATGGAATCGATAGTTGTTTAAGTGTGAAAGGAAGAGTATAAAATAGTCAGAGTACAAAAATTTTAAACATATAACATAATAAGGTAATCTAGTGGTGTAAAAATTTCTGATATTGATGATGTATATATAACTTAAACTCTATTGCATATTTTCTTCTTACAAAAAAAGGGAATCACTTTTATTGTATTGAAGAAAACACGGGGTTCTCCTTAATTTCCCAAACTACTTTATGTAAAGAAATAAATTTATTATGTCAAGAAATAATTTTATCTAATTATAGAAATCTGTCCTCAGCCTAAATTTCTGCCCTTCCCCACATAAACCTATTCATCAAGAAATAAAAAGATCCTCAGTTAACCATAAAGACCCCCCAACACCACCCTCTCATGTCTCTCTCCTACAACAACTTGAAAAAACCCATTAGAACAGTTGGGAGTTGACTAGTCGATATGTCATGGATGAGATTGCATTGATCCAAAAAGGGCTCAACTAAAATCAAGAAATGATGCCTTTATTATATTTCCAAGAAAATGAAATCTCTTGATGAAAAAGTTGCAGCCCTTCAGGCTACCACCAAACTATTCTTTGAGTAATCTTCAAGCTTTTTTGGAAACCTCTTCTCTTTTTCTTTATTCTCTTTCATCTCTCATTCAAAAAAAAAAAAAAAAAAAAGGAAAGACTGTTATGGAAACGCACCAATTCATATACCCAATTGTTGTCTCCTTTGTAACTGCCCTTGGCCTTGTCTCCATCACTCTATGCATAGTTGCTGAATTCAAGAAAACAAAGGTTTGTTTTATGTTTTATATCCACACACTAACCATTTCTTTTTCAATGGGATTATTTGGTTTGATCATTTTTTTTATGTGTGTTTGTATTTAATTTGCAGAAGAAAGATCTCAGGTTTGATGGGAAATTGTGTTACTTGCCTGGAAGTGTGGCTTTTGAATTGGGAATTGGAGCTTTAATTTGTTTATTAATGGCTCAAGTGATTGGGAACTTGTTGATATGCAGATTGTTCTTCTCAAGGGATCATGAAAATAGTTCCAAGTCTAAGAAAAAACCCACCCTTATTAATGGCTTCATTTGTGTTCTTTCATGGTAGGTGATCGATCCATCCATTTCTAACATGCAATTTTACAAACAACCCTCTACTCTTTAATTAAAATTATTGATTTATTGGAACTACTATTTTTATCATATCTAAATAAGGAAAATTTATCAAATTGCATAATATTGCTTTGATAGGATAGTAACTACGTTTTTTACTTGCTTTTGAGTTTCACTAGTATAAAAACTTAAAAATAGATAGATACCAACGTACGAGTGTTGTAGCATAACGTGCAACATATGCGCATGAATTATTTGCTTCAGCGAAATTTCTTAGTTTTTAAATAATTTCAGCTTTCTTTATTTTTCCATGAGAAATAATAGTGCATGTGCCGCTATACTTACCCACGAATAAAAGAATTATCTTAATTACATATGTTTCAGTATCATGTTCTCTCTCTTTTTGCTTTCTTTTTCTCGACAAGCTTCAAAGCATAAGAGCATAAGCACATGGACAGCTATGCAGAAAATTTTGTGCCGAAATCTGAAAGCCTAGTTAATTATAAATTACGTAGTAGTTAAACAAGTTCCAAAATTAGATAGTTATAATTGGAATTAATATTTCCTATGGTGTGATTGCAGGATCAGCTTTGTAACGGCAATAATTTTAATAGGGGCAGCCAGTAGCATGAGCAAAAGTCAGTCACTTGGTGAAGGATGGGTTGATGGTGAATGTTACATAGTCAAAGAGGGTATCTACATTATTTCAGCTATTTTGATCTTTGTAACTTTGAGCTCAACACTTGTTTCCCTCGTCTTGAAAATAAGGAAGAAGAACCCAAGTTGAAATAAGATGGCAACATACCTCAACAAGATGAATAGAAAAACACAAGATGGGGACTGAAATACAAAATGCACAGACAGATTTAGCAACAGGTTTTTTATTCTTTCTGATAGAGATCGAATCAATGCTCTCAATCCTAAAAGAAAACACGCAAGATCCAACTTTATAAAGCTAGAAGTGAATACAAATATCAATCAGTGCAAATGCAAATGAGCAAAAATATTCTATTTTGCAGGTTTTGGGCTTTTTTTTTTTTTTTGGGGGGGGGGGGAGGAAGGGGAGTGTACTGGACGAAAGAGAATACAGTAAAGGCCTAGGTTTTCTTCTACTGTAAGATAAAGTGATCGGATAAAAAGGATACTGACGGTATAGTAAATGCACACACTTTTTTTCCTCCCCACGTGGTGGTGATGTGTTTATCAAATTGCAATCTCGCAACAGAAATTCTTTGAAAAATATATTACTATCAGCCATGCACGTGGCCAGTTAGAACAATCCTCCACCTTCTCAGAAGAGGAAAGTGTGCATAGACATTAGTCAATGGTCCCAAAATTCGGTTCCTACACCCTCCCATGGGAAGGAACTCGAGAAAAGAAAGGCTTAATTGCAGTTTGACATAATATTTAGAGTTCAAAGACAACTTAATAGTTTGATGACATTAACTATTTTGCAGCTAGCCTGTTCAACAAGCGTAACATCAACTTCATTATTCGTAAGATTTATATTTCAATAACTCACTCTTTAAGTATTGTTAATATCTGAATATTTTTCAAGAGATGTCTCCACATAAAGTTAGGACTAAATTCAATATAAATCGAGAATGAGACAATGATGCTAGAAATGAATGACCGTTAAATGCCAAAAACCTATGTCTACACACGGACCTCCTATATATATGACAATAGAGACGCGAAAACCAATTTTAACAGATAGTGAGCATGTTAGAGCAGAACTGTTGAAAGGCTTCCGCCATTTTTTGAGAATAATCTACATTTCGAACAAAAAGAACCGTAATAGACTTTCCACAGAATTACAGAACAATTCCGAACACTATGATAAGAATATAAAACCTATATCAAAGTATGCAGGCAAAGCATTCACCCACCATCGTTTTGCCAAGAGGTCCATAATACACGCACAAAATAAGCACTAGCAAAAGATTAATGATAGCAACAGAGCTAGCAATGCAAGACAAATTAAAGCGACATATTAACCTGCTAGTGCACCTTCATTAGAAAACGTCACTAAAAGGATATTTTTGTCTAGACAAGTTTAAGATAGAACATGATTTTTTAAACCGAAGAAAATGATAAGAAGACAAGTTTACTTCCTCGGTCCGATTTGAGCTAAAGAAACTACAGTTTGGGAGTACGACGACTCTCAATCCACCTTGAGCAAAAGTTGCGTAAATTAGGTAACAGAACCAAGTGAACTGATCAAAAAACTCAAATCCCATGGAACCCATACCATAAAAATAGTTGCATGAAGAAGCCTACAGAGAAAACTGACTCACTGGACCAAAAATAACATGAGCCAGCCATGAAAAAACAATTCCTAATACACCTGTATCTGTAGTAATTGGCAGTTTGGTATTGAACTCCTCAGCAAATGTCATTAAACTAGCGGGAGATCTTCTCTGACATTTGTTTGAGTACTTCTGAAAATGAAATAAGCAGACACCGGGCAAGACTCATGTGAATATGTTACATCCTCATGTACCCACCACGTCCCCTACTGCCATAGTTATTATATCCCCTTCCCCAACCATAGCCACCACGGTGCCCACCATGTCCAGGCCCATAGCCACCATATCCAGGATAAGGCCTCTGTTGATGGTTACCGAAAGTCTGAGAGAAAAACAAAAAGGAGTAACTACTTCGTTACCACCAGTAGTTTGTAATATTTGGTCAAAATCCAGTGAATACTTATTTGAGGGGTAGACAAACCTCAGTATCCTGCCTCATTCTCTGAGAAAAACGATTCTGCCCATTCCTACCTCCACGAGCAACTGTGTTACGAGATATATTATCGAAGAAGTCATCCTTATTATAGGCAGGCTGCACAGAGAACAGAACAAGAATTAAATGGTCAAACTTAAATGCTTATGGTGATCATAATATACGTAATATGACTCAAGAGCTAGTAAAGAGGAATATAATACAAAATAGCATGAGGATAACTCAGTTATACATGCTAAACGTGACACCTACTTTGGGATCAGCATTACAATCCAAGCCATGACCTTCTTCATTCCCCTTGTTCTCATTGCCAGTGTCCTCACTGTCCATTGTTTTAGCTGTTTGTTTTGCTTTTCCAAGATAACCCCATACTTCATCCTTATTAAACTTCTCATTCATTGCAACAAAATCGAATTCTTCAGTAAACTCAGAAGATGATTGCAACTGCAACAGTTTAACAAAAATAAAAAAATAAATTGTCAAAAGCTAGATGTCCATGAAATTGCTTCCAGAGGCATAAAAATGTATAAAGCAGAACAAGAGGGTTTTCCCATATAAAGCAAAGAAACTTCCAAAGCAAAGGTAATTTGCATTGTTAAGGAAGCATCATTCGTTTTGCAACTCTTTCAGAAGTGATATGGATCTTGAAGTCCCTAAACTTCTCGATCACGACAATTGTTACAGCAGCTATTTTAATGCAATTCTCATCTTAAGGTGTCCAAGGAACGTAGAAGTGGTTACTATAGCTAATACTTCTCGTTCAAATAATTAACTTCACATACAAATCAATGTTCATAACCCACCCACCCCCTCACCCCACCCCCCTTGAGGTACTTTCAAGGTTTTGCACATCTCAAGCACAAAGAAAAGAGAAAAACAAAAGCACCTCGCTAAAGTTTTTCACATAACTAAAAAAAGCATTCTTCAAACTCACGTGAAAAGAATGTAAGATAAAAAGAACCTTACCCACCCGTTTTTCAATCCCGCAAGATTGCAAGAAGAATAAAGGAAGAAGAATGAAATAAAAGATAAATCACGTTTTTGAAGCAAGAGCTTAGAAAAACAAATCAGCAATGTCATTTTAGCATATTGAGCCTTTTAAATAGGCCTTATAACAACAACAACCCAATAATATCCCACATGTGGGGTCAGGGGAGGGTAGTGTGCACACCTTACCCCTACACGGGGATAGAGAAGCTGTTCCGAAAGATCCTCGGCACAAGGAGATGAAAAAGAGGCAATGGAACAATAACAACCACATACATCAGAAAGACAATGCCAGCAACCTAAGAATCAGAAAAATAAATGAAAAATGCAGTATCGATAATCAGAACAATGGAAAGATACTAGGCAATCAGAGCAGAAAACAGTACAAACACAACAAGTACCACTAACAATCTAAAGCAAGACACTATGAACTAGCCTAACACCCTCAACAGGGAAGAAAAACGCTCAAATACCTACTAACCTACGACCCTAATGTTCGCCCTCCAGACCTTCCTATCTAAGGTCATGTCCTCGATGAGCTGGAGTCGCACTATGTCCCGCCTGATCACCTCTCCCCAATATTTCTTAGGCCGCTCTCTACCTCTCCTCATACCTGACAAGGCCAACCGCTCGCACCTCCTAACCGAGGCGTCAAGGCTTCTCATCTGCACGTGCCCGAACCATCTAAGTCTCGCTTCCTGCATTTTGTCATTCATGGGCGCCACCCCCACCTTAGCCCGAATATCTTCGTTCCTAATCTTATACAACCTAGTATGCCCGCACATCCACCTCAACGTCTTCATTTCTGCTACTTTCATTTTCTGGATATGAAAATTATTGACTGACCAACACCCTGCCCCATACAACATGGCCGGTCTAACCACCGCTCTATAAAACTTGCGTTTAAGTTCCGGTAGCACCTTTTTGTCACACAAGACGCCAGATGCTAACCTCCATTTCATCCATCCCGCCCTTATACGGTGTGTGACATCCTCGTAGATCTCCCCGTTCCCTGGATAATAGACCCAGGATACTTAAAGCTCCCTTTCTTAGGGATGACTTGTGAATCAAGCCTCATGTCATTGTGCGCTTCCCCCGTCACGTCACTGAACTTGCACTCCAAGTATTCTGTCTTAGGCCTGCTCAACTTGAAACCATTAGACTCCACGGTCTGTCTCCAAACCTCCAGACTCTCGTTGACACCGCCTCGCGTCTCATCAATCAGGACTATATCATCAACAAATAACATACGCCATACAACATGACACCTCCTTGAACATGGTGTGTCAGAGCGTCCATCGCCAAGGCAAATAGAAAAGGACTGAGCGCAGATCATTGGTGTAACCCCATAACCACCAGAAAATGCTCCGAGTCACCTCCCACTGTCCTAACCCGAGTCTTAGCTCCACCATACATGTCCTTAATCGCCCTAATGTATACTATCGGAACACCTTGAGCCTCCAAACACCTCCAAAGAACCTCTCTCGGGACCTTGTCGTACGCTTTCTCTAGGTCAATAAACACTACGTGTAAATCCTTCTTCCTATCCCTGAACTATTCCACCAACCTCCTGATAAGATAGAAAGCTTCCGTAGTTGAACGGCCAGGCATGAACCTAAATTGGTTCTCTGATATAGACACCGACCTCCGCACCATCACTTCCACCACCCTCTCCCTCACTTCCACAGTATGACTAAGCAACTTGATACCCCTAAAATTGTTACAATTTTGGATATCACCTTTGTTTTTGTACAACGGTATCATTGTACTCCATCTCCATTCCTCTGGCATCTTCTTCGTCCTAAAAATAACGTTAAACAATCGAGTCAGCCACTGTACCCCCTCTCTACCCACAAACCTCCAGAATTCAACCGGAATTTCATCTGGCCCAATCGCTCTACCCCTGCTCATCTTGCCCATAGCCCCACGACCTCCTCGACCTTAATACGCCTACAATAGCCAAAATCACGGCGGCTCTCAGAGTGCTCTAAATCACCAACACAATGTCTTTGTCCCCTTCCTCATTCAGAAGTCTATGAAAGTAAGTCTGCCATCTCTGCTTAATCTGAGTCTCATCCATTAAATCTCTGTCGTCCTCGTCCTTGATGCACCTCACTTCATCCAGTCTCTCTCGCCTTGGCCAGCCGAAATAACTTCTTGTCCCCGCCTTTGTCCCCTAATTCGTCATACAACCGAGTAAAATTGACGAGGTTAAGAAAAACTAATCCTAATTGAACTAGAATAA